CAAAAAGTTATTTGCAGTATGATCTAGAGACAATGTAATCACATGTATAAAATGCAGATTACAGCTTGTTCCAGGAATCTAGTGAGTGATCTTGCACCAAAAAAAAAAAGGAAAAAAATTAACCCCCCCCCACAAAAAAAGCTACCAAGCAACAGCCTTAGCTTAGTAAAGTGATTTCTAAACAAGCAATTAGTAATTCACCTCTGCTGCTATGCCTTTAGGTAATCCCAGAAAAAAAGCCAAGGGCGGGGTGTGAAGAGGGAAGAACAACCAGAGAGGGAGTGAGCACAGCCGCTCATCTGAACCAAGGCTGCCACCTCCTGGGCTTGGGCAGGGGGCAGCCCCAGGGCTCTCCTTTCTCAAGGCAGAATCAAGAGTTTTTGATCCCATCCAGAATGAGGAAATGCAATCCATACTTAGTTTTGTAAGACATGATGACTGAACATATGTTTAAACTTGTACTTGCCTCTGGGGCATATTTTCTTGAGCTACAAAGCCCATTTCATGTGTGCATGAGGCAAAGTCAGCAGTTGGTGAGCGCACTTCCTTTAACCATTTCAGCACATTCTCATCTCTCACTGTTTGTGGGTGTGCTAAGGAACCTCATGAGTCACCTTCTCCATGTCCTACGTCACTTTCCTGGATCTGCATCCACTTCCTTTAAGGGACTGGTCTCAGGCTGCAGGTCCCAATGCAAGTGATTCCCTTGTAAATATTTTCAATTCTAGTACTCCTTTTTTGGGCAGAGAAGTACTTTAAATAAACTATGAAAGTTAGGTGAGATAGAAGTGATTTTATATACATACAGTAAATGTTTATCTGCTTTATTAAAAGTAGTTGGTCATAATTATTACATTATTCTAACTATTCTGAATATCCTTTAGCTTTTCAAGAAAAGCATTTTCTCTCTGAATAATAAGACATTACTAGAAAGCAACTAATTCAAGGCCTCTTGAAGATAAGATTATTTTTATCCAGCTATCTGAAATGTTTATCTGTAATTTATGGGGCTTCCTTTTTGCAAACACTGTAACCTTGTATTCCCCAAACATGCGCCTTTTGTAATCAAACATCTGCAGTTAAACTGCACTTGACTAGAGCCAGTTTAATTCAGTTCTTCAGGATGACTCATTTCTACTGATTAAACAAGGATATAGGAGAAAGAGGGAAAGTTGTGAAACTTGTTTCTCTTCTTACTGTAATTCCAGACACATAATTCTTCCTTCATCAACTAGCAGCTGGCAAAAGCTGCAACAGAGTTGTGATGACTTATTGTCATGAAACCTTACTTCCCACACAAGCTACGAGTCAGCTTGTGCACTTGTCTGTCCCTGATGTAGAGAATGCAGCCTTTAGCTACTCTGTTCTGATCCACACTGAGAAAGAAGGGCTGTGTGATTAAAACCACAGGCATTAAGGTGGTAATCTATGTGATGTCCACGTTATTCCTTATTAAGTGAAGATGCTCACCATTGTTTTCTTATCTTGCTTTTACTCAGATATGGGGATGTCAGTTCAAGTATTGTTTTAATCTCAGTTGACCCTGTTATTTCTATTTCATTCTTAAGAAGACGAACTTATTAAAAAAATAAAAATGCACCTCAAATACAGGTTGTACAATACTCTAGAATAATTACTACTTCTATACCAAAGAGTTTCCAGACATGTTCACACTAAGATATGACAGTAAGCTGTTCTCTTTCAATGTATGCAATGATGGAGCTGGGTTTCAAAATAGTTTTTGCAATATCTAAATTCAGTATCTAAGCATGTCTTCCTTCTCACTCTACGGACAGGAATTTCAATAGCTTCCCTTCCCCACAAAGTCACCAGTCTTAGATTAGAAAGGAAAGCTGAAACAATCTGTTAACAGCATTAAACAAAAACGAAAATATTTTTAAAAGTTTTTTCCTCAAGCTCAGGTTAAGCCAAGTCTTAAGTACAGAGTCAGAATACACTGGAGTTCACATATAACAGGGCTTGTTTGGTCAGTTTTAAGATTTATGATTTATTTATTCATAACATGGACAATTTTCAGAGAAATTTGGTCTAAAAGTGATGAAAACTTTCATAGAAATAGCAGTACTCTGCATACTTCATAAGGAACATGGCAGAGTATTTGGAGACAGAAATAGAAAGCCAAGACACCAAAAACTGTCATGAGACATGCAGAACCCAAATTTCAATTATTAGTTTTAATAGGATTAAATATTTCCTGACTTAATCCTAAATAACACAAAGGAGTGACTAGCAAGATTTCATCCAGCCTGGAAGAAGCATGTTATAAAATCCACACACAATAACAACACCTGGAAAATTTCCAATTCTCCTGCACATTTGTTTTGAAAAACAATGTGCCAGACAGCTACTTTCACAGAAAGTGTGAATAAATTGACACAGCTCCACTTGCTCCCTTATCTTTAGTTCCTTTCTTGCAATTTTCAATATTAAGAAAGTGAGAATCTGCCAAATCAGGAGCTTCTACAGTTTCAAGGCTCTCAAGCCTTGATTCCACACCAGCTCAGACGATATTGTTGATGTTAGGATCATCCACCAAGTTCCTTCATCTTCCTTCTTATCAAGAGCAGCTTAATTTGGTTCACACATGAACTCTGCCAGGATACCCTGCAGTTATCAGACATTCACAGCAGTCACACTTCTGCTACTACCAGCATTCTTCTGCTGCTGTAATCTTGTTTATGTATGCTGGGAGGGAAAAAAAGCAACAGAACCAAGTGAAGCTTTGCAAGTTTGAGATTTTCATTATTTTTTTCATCTAGTAGGTGCACCAAATTATGCAGATGCAAAACACTGATGAACCAGAATGGCAGACTTGGTAAATGGCTGTACAAGGTAACTGGGGCTCAGTCAATTATTTACTCTCCCCTCCATTTCTAGGGGGCCTTATGCAACATCAAAGCCTTTTACATGCAATGTAAGTGATGTTTAAATGCTAGATAAGCTCTTGCTCAGGGCTTTTCTTTGTGGATGCTTTTGACTTAATTGAATATATTACCCTGTCATTGTATACTTTTAACAATAGACATTTCTAATCTTCCTATGACTAACATCAGTCCTTACCAACAGTCACATTTTCATGAAAATAAACCAGAACCATCAGAATGTAAATAAGTTCCAAGAATCAGACAATGAATAAACAGCAATAAATGAACAATGCAGTAAGGCAGTGCACCATTACACTTTATTAGGCTGAGAAAAAATATGTTCATCACTTGCAGTAGTCACAGAACCCCAGAATAAAAAATAGAAACCTAACAGACATGCAACACACTGCTACTGATAAAGTCCTCCCTGGGCCTCCTTTTCTCCAGGTTAAACAACCTCAATTGCTTCAGCTGCTCCTCAACAGACTTGTGCTCCAGCCCCTTCCCCAGGCACAATCCAGTACCTCAATGTCTTTTGTGTAGTGAGAGGCCCAAATCTGAACCCAGGATTTGAGCTGTGGCCTCAACAGTGCCCAGTGCAGGGGGACAATCGCTGCCCTGGTCCTGCTGGCCACACATTGCTGATACAGCCAGGATGCCACTGGCCTTCTTGGCCACCTGGGCACATCTGGGCTCATGGTCAGCTGCTGTCAAGCAGCACCCCCAGATCTTTTCCTGCCAGGCAGCTTTCCAGCCACTCTGCCTCCAGTCTGGAGACGCAGGGTTGTGACCCAAAGGCAGGATCCACCTTTACCTTGTTGAACCTCACACCACTGGTCTTGGCCCATTGATCCACCCTATCCAGACCTCTCTGCAGAGCCCTTCTACCCTCCAGCAGCTCAACACTCCCACCCAGCTTGGGGTGTCATTTGGGGTGCAAATTTACTGAGGATGCCCTCCATCCCCTCATGCAGATCATTGATAAAGACATTAAACAGGACAGTCTCCACATCAATACCACAAGCAGGATACAAAAAACAGCAAAGAACACCAAACAAAAAAAAGTGCTTGTGTCAATTTCTCACCCCTCAGTAGATTTGTGAGTCAGGAGGGAAGCCCACAGTTCTTCCTCATCCTGCCCTTTCATCCAAAGATTTTGTTGAGAATGCTCCAGAAGAAATGTTTAAAAGAAACTACTTTCAGGTACTATGATGCTGTTAATTTAATATTACATAAAAATCAAAGTAAAAAAAAACAGATTTTGATTTCCTGACAAGCATGCAACATGAAACAGAACATTAATTTGCTAATATTCCTTTAATTTTTTAGTTTTTCAAGAGTATTTCTCAGACTACAAAAATGACGTAAGGTAGGTTTTTGTCCATATGGGTATCATGCTTCCTGCCATGAATTTACTGGCTGTTTGCCACATGATAAATAAATAATGTAAAAAACCCCTAGCAAACAGCAGCAAGTAAAAACCAGCAGGCTCTCAATAAAAGGCTCTCATTAACCCAGGTGGAATAATCTCAAACCCTTTTCAACACCCTGATCCCTTCATGGAAGCACAAACCAGGTGCTAAGAATTGCATGATCTGTGGCAATTTTCACCAAAAAATTGTTATAAAGTGTAAGCATTTGTCCACATCTATCATTTAACATTGAAACTGCTTTTTTCCTCCAGCACAGAGTAAATTTTTTTTTTTTTTCTACAGTTTTCAAAAGTTTCTACAGAGTGGAAGCTTTTGACTTTGTAATGTCTCCCAGGGCAGGAATCTCAGTACTGAAGGTCCTGGTACCAGCATGGCCAAGCACCACAGCAGTATTGGGAGATTAAAACATTTGCCATATGTGAAAGATTCCCTGAGCACAACTGCTGCACTGCTGAAGTGAACAGGAGTTTTTCCACGGCCCATCCCCCATGACACCCTGTACCATGTCATCTGCTAAAAACTCAAAACCAAAATAAAAAATTTCCCTTTTTCCTTCTCTGTCATTAAATAGCGCAGATTTGATGCATCAGTTATAACAAATAATTATTTTACTTAATTTTCAAATTACATCTCCCATTATTGCTGTCTACTAGCCTCTTAAAAAATTAGAAGTTAAGCTTACCAAATTTTTTCTTGTTCTTTTCCTTCTTTGGCACACTGGTTTATTACAGCAGGGCTACTCATGGTAAGGGCTGAGCTTTCAGAATTCATTTTTTTTCTACAAAAGAACAACATCAAAAAACAAGAAAAACGCTATTTAAGTAAAGATTGTGGTTACTAATTAAGTAGAAAATGGAAACTTTAACTTTTAACTAAAAACTTTTAAAAACCAAATACAGTATGTTTTACTCATTTAAGTAAATGTCCAACATCAATATGATTAATTGGATGAATACACTGAGAAGGATTTGGCAGTTTTATGGACTTGCTAGTTATGCCAAACCCAACACTGATTGTCTTCTGTTTACTTTTCTGAACAAATGCCAAGAGAGTTGATGTCAGCAAGCCTGTATCCAGGGCTGTGCATCATGGCAGTTCTGTTAATTCAGAGCAGCAGTCACAGTCAGCACTGCTGTGGAATGATACACACACACAAAACATGGGGGAGAAAATTTTAATTTCTAACATGTAAAGATTTACAGAAGCTTTTTGGCATATTTTAATAACTTAAGATCATACTTTGCAGATTTGGAGAAAATAACGATTCCTTCACGGCTGAAGGCCCTCTCTAAAGCAGCACAGACATATTCCAATTGCAATACCAATTCCCAAGTTACACCTCTTATGAAAGGTCTATAGGGTCAAATAAGTTTCCAGTAAATGACTTGCAATGCAAGAACAAATGAAGACTCTACATAATGCAAGTTAATTCCACCATGAAACAGTAATAATTTCTTAGTAACAGAATCCACAATGTTAACCTGAAACTTCTGAGTCCTACAGCTTCTCTACCCACTCCCACTTTCTTTTAAGGGGTGAAGGGGGGGTGCAGAGGGGGGAAGGAGAGGATATTTTTAGCTCTCAGACATCTTATTTGACTTGATTTGACACCTGGTTTGTATTATGATCAGCACAAGACCTAAATGATTAACAAAAATCAGGCTCAACTGTATATTAATTATTATCTACTAGTGTATAACCAGAAAATAGCCCGTGCTTGTCAAGACAATCCCTTACTCTTTTTCAAGTAGATACAAAGAACCATTAAAGAGCTGGTTTAACCTGTGTGAAACCTGGATAAAAATCTGACTTGACAGATTCCAGGGACAGCATGAAAAGCTGAGTACAGGGCACACATCCCATCACTGGCAGGTAGATAAGGCCAACCTACACAAACTAAATGCTCTGAAGAGAATGCCTATCTTGGTTTCAAAAGTCTGCCCATGCAAGACTGAATAAGCAGCCCTGGCAAAGACCTGTTTATCAGACAGAAGTCCCAGGACCAGCAACCAAACTTTGATCCTTACTGACATTAATGTCTTGTTTTTTCCTGCCCCTTGCTGCAAACAGAGCCTGTGGCACTGACCCTTCAGAGCAAACAAAATGGATTTGCAAGAACAAGTCCTTAATCTTGCATTTTTTAAACATCCCTCATAATAGAGAGGGATATTTCTGGGCAGATTTGTTTCCTGAAATCTTGTTCAAAGGATACAAAAAACCTATTCTGAATGGGAAAAAAACAAAAGCCTCACCTCTGTGAGGGCAGGAACAGAGACTCAGCCATCTAACTCTTTTTGGATCAGTGCCTGACCTCAAATTTACTCCTGATTCTCAAATGGATCATTTTGGAAGAAATGAAAAGTAAGAAAAACCAAACAAAAATGCCACAAAAAAGGAAAAAAACCAAAAACCAAACAAACAAACCCCACTCAAAACAAATCAACAACATGAAAATCCCACTAAACAAATCCACACAAAAAAACCTTTTCATCCTAAAAGCAGCTCAGCAGCAAAACGTGTTGAAAACTAAATTATTACTTGCCTCTCTAGTCTATAATAGCACAGGAAGAAAAGAGTTTTTCTTAAATACATGTTAAAGCAATATTGCAAGAGTCCCTATTTAACATCTTCTGCAGAGTTCCCCTTTTTGAGGAAGCAATTTCTTAACCTGGGGAAAGCTCAGATTCTTCAGTGATCACACAAGTTATGGCAACTAGAGTTTTACCTTTACTCTTACTGTCACCTGTAAGAGTAAAATCAAAGGTCCAGGGCAGGGTTAGAAGCAGTCCATTAACTCTCAAAGTTGGAAGGTCAAAGATTCAGATTACAAAACCACAAGGTTGCCATTCCAGCAAAAAAGGTACAACTTCCTCTGTTTTCTTGTGAGTTGGTAGTAGTACCAACAGTACAACTGTTCAATGTATGACTAAAAAAAAAAAAAAGCAAAAAAAAAAGCTGTTTTCAGCACTCTCCTCCTCACCCTTGGAAACATCCAAGCCAACACTCCATACATATATCTCTGCACTGAGATTTCCACACTAAAACTAGAGCAAAAGCAGAGGCCAGAAGTGATAAAAGTTACTGTGTTGTTCCTTTTCTATGAGCAATTGATGATAAAAGTTGACATAGATCTAACAGAAAATAAATTAAATATGGCATTAACCTAATTTATATTCTGAGATGCTCTGCAAAAGAAAACCATGTAAAGTAACACAGAGAGGAATACATTTTGTCAAACTCCTCACCTCCCTCACATTTCCAGCCTAATATCTGAGAACAACAGCAGTACACTGTGCACCTTGAGTGACTTTTGTCTGTATCAGCCTGTATCAGCTGTCCACATCAGCTTCTTTTAAATCCCACTGCATGGTTACTGTCTGTGGAGATGGGGGGCACTGTCAGGTTTGCCATCCAGCAGCTCTCCCCAGCCACACTTTGGAGGTTGGACAGCAGTGAATCAGACAAGCTTTAGGGACACACTTTTGTCACACTATTCCTCTCAACAGGTCTACACAGGTCCTTGTTCACTCTCTACCAGGAGCAACAGGTAATTAAACAGCTGATCCTCACAATACTGACAAGTTTTATGGCCTTGTCAAAATATCAAAAGTTTTTTTCATTTCCAAATGGCAAACAGAAAATTGGTATCTGTCAACACTTTACAAAGCCAGGGATACCAAGTATTACTACTACTTCTCTTACTTGAAACTCATTTCAGAGAAAAACACTCTGCCTGTAGATTCTCTCCTTACTCATGAGCCACAAAGTTCCCTAAAGACCCTTTCTTAACAAAAAATATTTTTTTAGTAAAAAAAAATAAAAATATGTAAATATATACAAGGGGAATATATTTTTTCAATCATTAGGAATATTTTATGTACATATTTCCAGTGAACACATACTGCTTCAGTAGGTCTAAAATGAAACTGAAATTTTTTTTGTGGAAAGAAAATTGTAGGGCTTATACTCTAAAAAATATTGTTCATATTCAAAGTGAGCCACACAAAATGAAAGCTAAAACTAGCAAAGGAAAAATTTTTGTATGTTTAAAAAAGTGTATATATGCACACAAACTGAATACTACCACTATCCTCAGAAATCAGCCTCCAGTAACAACACCTTAGAAAATGAAATGCAACTCAAGAAGCACAAGAACAACATTTAGAAAAAAAAGAAATGCTTTTCACAGGTACCTCTTTCTTTTGCAGGTATCACCCTGCAACTCTTGTTTGGACTTGAAATTTATGGCATAGTCAAGGTTCATGATGAAACTTGGAGGAGGAAAATAAATCTATCATCTTCCCTCTTAATAACTTGAAGCCAGATGCTAAGACAAGTCAATGAATATTATTTTAAGAGACTGCTCAGAGGCATTCTGTTCCTCAGCCTCTGCACACCGAACCTTGCCTGTTCCAGATAAGGGACATGCTCTTGAATTAGGTGCTGTCCTGGAGATCGCGCTGTGCTGTAATAGCAGGAAGTGGGCAAAACACAGCTGCAGAACAAAAACACAGGAAAACAATGCCAGAGAATTTATTTATAGCAACAGAGTTTATCACTACTCTCTCTGTCTTACTGAGGAAACCTGAAGAAAAATCCTCAGTGGTTTTGATGAGACATGTGAAATTCAGAATTCTTAGTCTTCTGTGACCAAGTATAGGTTGCTTAACACTAGAGTCCCCAGAGGGAAACAAATCCTAAAATTCTCTTATGTTATCTCTTCTATATTTCCATTAAAAATATTAACTCTGTTTATCTGAAGCCTTATCAGTCCATCTGCCCTAAAGTAGATTCTTTCACCATATAATGGCAGAGAAAAACCTAGCAGTGGTAAGCCACTAGCTCAAATACTGACAAGTATGTTATATTTAAGCATATTTTATTAATTCGTATTTAATTTTGGGAGTTCTGCAATTGCCCTTACATGGACAAAAAGCAGGGGGAAAGGCTCTAGTACAGCACAGCACTCAAAGCCCCTGAACACCTGCACAGCACTGCAGGATTGCTTGAACAGAAAAATATTAGACAGTTCAAGAGAAGTATTGAAGTCACAACACCCCACAGGCTCAAACCTGACTTATATCTGGAAGAATAGGGTAAGTATTAACCAATCTTATTAAAACTGATTCCCTACACAAAGCACATTTTCTCCTCTGCCTTTTTTTTCTCCTCTCCTTGTGTTAAGTGTAGATACACTTTGATCCCCAGGCTAAAAATATTTTTTGCCTTTCCCTCCACACCCTATTTGTATCTCTAGACAAGATATTCGCAGTAGCCATAGTTAAAAAATAACGTATCATTCAACAGCTGATCACTACAGTTAAAGCAAAAATAATTAATATCTTCTGATGAAACATGTTCCCACAGTTCCTCACCCTCACTAAAATGCTTTGCATTGTTGAAATAGTATCTTGTTATACTTAGCTGATAGGAAAACTGCGACGAAAAAAAATCTTTTCTGAACTCTAAGAATCCTCAATGCAGAAACTATTACCCTTTGTAATGAAATAGAAGGCAGTAGCATCACTATGTAATGGGTGATAATGTACATCTACTACAAGGAAAAAGATGTTAATCACCATCGTTCTCTGAAGCAAATGTCTTTATGCTCACAAAGCCTGAAGAGCCCATTACAAGTTAGCAGTAACTAATAGTTAGTAGAAACATCTCTCAAGAAATCATTCCCATTTCCTCACTTACTGCCTGAAATCTGCTACTTCTAGTGAATGAACATATTTAGCCTTTCACTACATTCTGAAAGGCCAAACCCACACCCAA